GTGATCTTTTGTGTCGACTGTGAAGCTCACACAAACGCATAACTGGACCTGGCGGTGTGGTTCAGCACATGCGCTAACTCCTGTATGTCGTACGGCTCAACGTCGATGTCGGCATCGGCAAATTCGATTTTCCAGTAGTATTTACCGTCTTTGGCAAACCATGGTCGCACGATTCCGTCGAAATTCTTTGTTGTGATGCCATCGTCGTCATTTATATCGAGCGGAACAAGCACCTTCCAATTAGTTGGAAACCCAGGCCTGCGTGTCATTTTTTTCAACAGTTTAGGGACTGCGTACTGGCCTGTGTTGGGCGTGTCGTGTTGTCTTGCTTTTGGCACTTTGTGTGGGCGACCCGGAGGCTTACACGCTGGTATTGAACTCAGTAAGACCTTCAAGTAGAAGCCGTCAAGGAGCTTCAGAGTTGCCAATATGTGGGAGCACAGCCACCTCGAGACGAAAAATGCCTTACAGTCGCAGTGACACTTAGTACGAACCCTCAGAACCTGCATTAAGGAGTCAAAACGGAAATGAACGGTGATAACAAGCAATTGAGAAATACAAACCTCAGTTTCGGGCCAATTAGGTGAAGCCCAGCTGTGTGTGAACGGAAGATCCGTTAAGACGCGAACTAAATGCAGGGAGAGATAGTGTGGCTCCATGTTTTCAACAATCTCAGGCCTTCGAAGACTGCCTCTTAATGAGGCTCTAAAAATGGCTGCTCGGCTTTCATCGACTCGTGTAGCTTCGACACTTTCATCCCCAATCATGTATTTGCGAGAGTTGAAAAGCACTCCTGTAACGGAGCTATTCCTTTCCACTTTTTTGTAATTTCCTTCCTCTACTAGCAGCATAGCTTTCCTAGCCGCCTTTATCGAGACTGGCCCAGCCGAATACGGTTTAATTATGGATACGCCTTTGCTATCGCGAGTGGAACTGAAGTAGGACAGTATTCGCGGTAAAGACGAGTTGAGAATGACCTCTGTTGAAGTGTTGATTGCTGGGCCAACGATACGCTTAATATCGCGATTGTGAGCTTCAATAGGATTCTGGTTGGGAGTAATTCCTGGGGCCTTGCTCGCAGAATAGTACCATAGTTTCCAATCAGCTGCAAGGTATTCTTCCTTAAACCATTGGGCT